AACTCTACAATCATCTCCGTGGATCCTTGCCATGTGTGAGGTGGAAGGGTGCGCAGCTGCAATGGTAAGCCATTTCGTTCCGGTCAAAAGTGCACGGAAATGGGGCTGATTGAGTGCCATAGGATAGAGATGCAGGGCAGTGATATTCGTCTCCAGACTTTGGCGAGTGTCTTGCTGCGTAGACAAGTAGCGCGGCCGGCCACATGCCCAACCATGGCCGAACAACGCCACTTGTCTACACCCTCTCACCTGTGGTTCTCTACCTCTGACTGCGTACTCGCTGCGAGATTTTGGCATCTACACAAGTGCTGCGCCTCAAGGACAGCGTGGACAATGTGCAGAAACGGCATCGGGTATCACTACGCTCCAGCTCCGTTCTCGACCACTTCTGAGCAGACAGAGCAAGTAGCTCCCTACTGCAGCTGTGGACCCATTCACCTCCCTGCTGGAACCACACTATCTCCTATTTCTAGAACGAAGCAGACGATAATGGCGCATTCGGCGACGGGGTGGGGCATTTTGCACTTTGCTACTTCCCATCGACGTGTCGACCTATCTAGACAGCCTCTTCTCGAGTTGACAGGTTTTAACATGATGACTTGACGACCTTGCTCCAGCTTCACAGGTTTCAGAGTGACTCTTGTAAGCAGTGACTGTACAAAATGCCCCTCGTCGCCGAACTGCGCCTGGATGTTTTCCCAGCCTCACGTGTGTCTGATGAACTTCCTAAGGATCCACGCAACATCCTTCATTATCGGCCTGTGATCAGGGATCGAATTCCAGCAAGCAGCAACAATTACCCGTATTTCGATCGGCATATCAGGGGATAGTGGCGGTCGAAAGTTTGGCTCCGCTAACTGCAAGTCAAAGTATCATGTATCTAGTGAAAATAATATTCCCGAGTCGCGGCAAGGCTCGCAGATATCGGCCAGGCCATTGACCTGACCAGCGTAGCAATGCCACGTTGAATCGATTGGGTCCTGGTGCGAATACCGCGCACGTGCCTCCTTGCGACGCCTTCCACGAGTCAGGGCTAACCATGTATACTGGCATCTTCCAATAATTCCCGGGAAGGTTAGGTTAGCAAGAAATTAGCGTATAGTCGCAATAACTGCAGAAGATGGGCGTGGGAAGGGCGTTAGTGTATCGCAGCCCAGGGCACTCAGGTTGGGAATCTCAACAGGGAGTTCGACTGGCCGCCATTGAGATGGGAGTCGTAGGTTGCGGCTTGATGAGTGAGAAAAATTTAATTTCGATTAGCTTGAATTTTTGCTGGCTTACGGATGTTGTAAAAAGGGGAGGGAGAACCGTATTTACTTTCTGACCTTTCCAGGAGTGGTGGGAGTGGTGGTTGACTTTTCGTGATTTTCCTGTTTCATGCGTACTATATATACCCTCGCCCTCCCGTTCGACGGCTTGATTCGATGAGGAGGGACAGACAGGGCACGCCATCTTTGTGATCATCACAAAGGAGGGGGTCGTATTTGCCCGCGATGGAGGGTGGGGGCGCGGGTCGTAAAACACTGCATGCGCTCATGTTTGGAAGTGGAGAGAGCAGGATACACGGTACAAGTGAAAAGAAGCTCAAAAGGGACGATGTAGATGACAATAAATAGAACTAGGCACTATCGAACTATTCCTAGGCCAAGAACTAAAAAAAATATTGCGGAAACTTTTTCCTCCTTCCTCACAAGAAAAACTTTTAGACACTTCGCCCACCAACCCTCCTCATCTGGTCTAGATAAATCCCAATCCACTAATCCGCAAAATCTAGAAAAGAATCCATTGCAAAAGCTACCTATGAAACCGTAGAAATTGAATCCTGAGCAATTTCCTCACAACAAAATCAAATTCAACAAAACAAAATCAAACTTAACAAAACAACAATCAAAATAATTAACAATCAAATGGATAAGAAAAAATACTCACCAGGCCAGCTGGGAACCGGAACTATGGATTACTTTTGAATTTTGGCTGTTCGCGGTCAGCGCGCTCATACAAGCGCATTGGTGCGGCGCAGCTATTTTCGCGGTTTGGAAGCCAATTTCAAGCCAAACACGTGAAAAGTACCCCTCATTTGAACACCATAACTTCGTTGAAAGTGAAGCTATCGGAGAGGGGTAAGTGGGAATGAGTAGAGCTAGTGAGGCTTTATGCACTGGTATTTGCAGCGATTTTCAAAAACGGTTCCGGTTCAGAGATTTTCCCGGTTGCTGTCATTTTTATTGATCCGTCTGTGATCATTTTTGCGAAGCCCGAGTCGCTACGCTTTGGACGTCCATGGCAAGCTTTATACACCGCCTTTCGTAAAAAAAAAGAATTGTGCCGGAAGCTTGAAGATTTCTACTTCCAGCAAGGCTTTAATTTCTTCCTAGGCCTGCTATTCGAAAAATTCCCCGTTGTGATCATTTCGTAACCATCCCCCCACGACACGAAAAATCAGCCCTCCGAGGCCATGAAACCTCCAGTTGGCTTGAAGACTTTGGTATGCTTCTAAAACACATGTTTTCGCAAAGGGTATCAGGAAATAGGCCATTGGGCGCCAATTGGCATCACCTCTGCAATGCGCCATGCATGGGGCTTTCACGCAGGTGTTTGGAAGGTGTGTAACTTAGTAGATAGGGCTTCCCAATTGCAAGCACAAAGTGAGCCATATGCATCAGCAGAAAAGTCCGCACGGGGAATGTACTTTCTTTCCTGTTATTTCATCGTCAAGATCGTTAAGTCTTTCATTGTTAATAAATTCACTAGGTGTCCTTGTGGGCGCGTGCAGTGCGTAGCTCCTATCATCGCCCACATCCTCGTAGGGTGTTGTCTCGCACAGTATGCTACACCAGCGCCAGAGTGCTGGACGTGCTTGGGACGTACGTAGGTACTGCGACCTCCCCCCCCGCTCGACAGCAAAATTTTGTAAAAAAAACCAGAAATTTTTTGGGAAAAATAGACAAAGTGGTAGGAGGTTGGAAAAAATCTAGGGAAGAGGTAACATGGGGAGGGGGTCGTACTTGAAGATGGAATTAGGGGGGTCGTATTTTTCAGGAAATGATCACAACGCAATGGCGTGCCCTGGGACAGGAGGCCGGGGAAGCCTACGGGGTCGTGGAGGCGTTTGTACGGACTTGACTAAATCCCCAACCAGTTTATTGCCGTTCGGCAGCAGAACAGATTCCCGGCAATTGTTGCTAGTTCATCACTGATGGGATAAGCCGCTTTGACAGCGCTCCACGCCCCATCCACGCCCTATCGCTTGAAGGGATCATGACTGTATGTAAGCGCTAACCCGATGCCGAACAGTCCTATTGGAGAACTCCTCAAATGGCTGTCTAGCATCGTTGAATATTTCCCAGACCAGAATTCCATACGAATAAACATCACATTCCCTCGTATAAACTAATGTACTCATCACTTCTGGAGCTTGCCTGAAAGAAAATCGATTTTTTTAGGATTCTTTTTTGCTCAAATTCGGAAAAAATAGCCTTCACAGAGCATCGACAACTACTTACCATTTAACTGGTATCCTTTCAGAGCCTTGAATTTTATATCGATCTGCTTGTTTCGATAAACCAAAATCGGATATTTTGACAATATTTCGCTGATTATCAATCAAACAATTCCTACATGCTATGTCCCTGGAATAGGCCTCACTGATGAAAAACTATTTTAGATTGATGTTGGACCGTAGATTCTACGTAACGCAGTGCCCTTCAGTGTGGTTCGCCGCAGACAACGGGGCGTGTCCACACTGCTGGTTTGGCACGCCGCCAACCCCATTCTCCTCCAGTGGTTTAAGCGGATAAGTGACAATGACTGCTGAACAACGATTGATAGGAACGATATGGTACAGTCCTGTGGTCTGCCGAGAGAAGAATAAGAAAGCAGAGACGGTTTGACGCCGCGCCAAATGCAGCTGCGCGGACACGCCCCATCATCCGCAGCGATCGCGGCTCTACCTTTTACTAATTATACTTTATCTGACGCATCTGCTTTCCCATTCAGAATCATGTGCGTACATAAACGGGCCAGACAGCGACCACCTGTGAAGGCAACCGGCCTTCGGTCTGCGTTCATACTTTGCGTTCTTAATAAAACTAATGGAAGAAAAGTTGAAAACTCGACACTTTGTAGTGCCTCGAGTGTTAAGAATCATTCACAGAACTCACCTATGCATGCATCGTTTGTTATGAAGGTAGTATAAACCGAGTGATACGTCAAATGCGTAAGAGCATCGGTCCTCAACACTGACCTGCAAGGAAAAGGTTCCTCATAGATAATGTCCGCCATCTTGTGAAATGCCTCAGAGCATTTGGTAGACAGGTCCTCTCTCGCAGAGAGTGGACCACTTTCGTCACCCGGACCTGCGAGATAAAGCAGCCAGAAATGTGTGACCTCTTACTACCGTAAGTTTTCAGGCTACAAGACAACCATTTACAGCGCTAGTTACTGTGCATGTTGCCTGGGGCGTCATAGGACGATCCCATGCGCTCGTTGCACGGAACGGTAGCGTGGTTACTTTTCGTTATGCTTTGCGTAGATTTAGATTTAGGAACAAGCAAGCAATAACTGTCCACTTTTTAAGGCAAGAGAGGTCTGAGCTCTCTTATGTACACAAGCGATCAACTAACTTAACGCCTAACGGGTATCGATTGAAGGGAGGCTGTTACTGTTTTCGGGAAGAATGTAGAAGAATAGATGGGTATCAGGTTGTGTTATCAGGCAACGCGTATCTTCCTATTATCTTAAAGGCAGTTGGCACGATGGTTCCCTACTTAGCCTAAAATGCTAGTAGGGCGCTGTATAGTGGGGAAATGGCGAAAGAACGGAGTGAAACGGTCAAAATCCTGCGAAGAAAAAGCCTCCGTTCTCAGTGACTTGTAAATCGATTTCGGACGAGTTTCCCGTAGGCATCTTGCCAATCACCGCTACCGAAGATACGGCTGCATATGTGTACCCATGTATGCATGCAGCATCACGGCCGCTTCATACCAATCCCTTCGCTTCATAATTTGCTTAGCAAATGAATGAATACGAGCGTCAGGAACGGTCGTCCATTTGTGGGCGGGCGTGGCGGGCGTTTGGGACGTAAAGTTGTGGCTTGATAGGGCACCTTCCTCGGGGAAACCGCTATGCAGCGCCTGCCCAGGGTCGCGGAATTCTATCCTGCCAGGAGTATTGATCCTAGTCGTCTTGGGGGATTTATCGTGCCAACTGCCTTTAAACTCTTTGGAAACACCAGCGGGCATCGCTGATGGATTCCCGTCTGTGGCTGCCTTCTCCACTGCAGGGGGAGGCGAAAAAGGACAGTT